CGATTGGTTCAGTTGGAAGAGAGACACCTCGGAGTTGCTGTCATTCAGCGACAGCACGTCCTCCGAGTCGTCCACAACGCGAGTCACGTGATTGCCGTTCATAACCTCCGCGACCGCCAGTTCCGCATCGGGAATGGCGTCGAGCGACAGTTGTTCCCTCACTTTGTGTTTGATTTGTACCACAGAATCATATTTGTTCTCAACGGTCACCAATAGGCGAGTGGGCGGACCGTTTCCATTGAGAGGCTGGTAGGTCACCACCAGCTGTCGGTGCCGTACGACCGGCAACGGAACGGCTAAATACATAAATGCCTCGAATGTCTGACTCGTGTGTCGACACATATCGCAGACAATCAGTGAACAGAGTTGGCCCTGAAATGTGTCCACAACGCAGGATTTGGAGGGCTGGCATGTGGTGGAGGGGGTGTTGTTCGTGAGCGCCTCCTCTTCAGCACCGGTGGGTCCGTCACTCACTTTCAGCCGTTTGTTCGCATTCACAGTCACGTGATTTGATTTGATGTGATTGTGGTTATGATTGGCAACACTACTGTCACCGCCGTTTACACCACCACTACTACTACTACTGCCATCACCACTGCCACCACTACTACCGCAGCTACCGGTGCTCATCAGCTGTTCGTGGAGTGCGTCCAACAGGAGCGCTAAGAACTCTTGGGCGTCGTGTTGGCGGCCGTCAGCCAAACACTTATGCCTTCTGGACATCGACTCGCGTATGCCTTCCGCACGAATGGGTCCACAGGTGGCCGACCGGTAGGCCTTCAACAGAGTGACGAACTCATTGACGATCGTGTCTTCGGCGCCGGTAGTCGTCGCCAATTGGAGGCCATTAGACATCAAATGCGAGACGAAGTGCCGGTTATTGAGCAGACACTGGAAGACACAGTTCTGGTAACAGGTGTTGCCGAGGTTGGCCAGCCCTACGCCGCCCACAGCGGCTACCGGTGCCGACTCGTCCCACACATCGCCAGCAGCGGTTCCGTTGCCATCGCCGGCGCTCTCCTCACTGTACGGCCAGTCGCTGGTGGACTGCGAGGGCGGCAAACCCATCGACGCCTTCGTCAGGTCAGCGCTTCCAGTCGTGGCGGCGGACGAAGGGATGTCAACAACGCATTGCACGACAGCCATCACTGGTGCCGATGATCACCACATCAAGTGTTGACAACTGGCGCCACACTATCACCAATCGCTTCCCAGATGAGGCTATTCGTCGATCCAATCACGTGATTAGGTGTTAGGCGCTGGTGAGCGACAGTGTCTGTCGCGTTGATGGCGATGGTATGAGTGGGTGCTATGGGTGTGGACACACTGGCGGTGATAATTGGCGGACTAACTACTGGTGATGTGGTGATCGTAGGCAACGATTGTCTCATCGATATTATCGATACCACTGTTTTCAACGTTGCTATCGATTGTCGCGCTTTTTATGACAGTCACCGATTGGGATGTGTTGGCAGACACTGGCCGTCGATGACAGTTGCGGTCAGCGTTGCGATGATAATGTTGGCGCCGATTGTGACCACGAAATCAGTTGTCAATCAACGGATCAATTGATTCAAGAGTTGATGCAAACAGTGAGTGAAAGGGCGCACACATTGACGGGTCGTTCATATAATACGTGCTATAAATCGGTCCATAAATAGCGTTACGTTTGTCTTTCGGCGACACCGATGCGGAAGTCTGTGATTATCGCCGTTTGGTCTATACTTAAGACACCATCACTGGTGACAATCGATAGCTCCCGACCCGAGCCATCACTTCCAAACTTCCAACGGCCAGACACTCAATGGCTATCTGTTCCGGTGGTCGGCATACACTCCAAGAGTTGTGTCCCCAAGTGTACGGCCTGTCGATTACTCCATTAGCCATGTCTTGAGAGCTCCTACCGATTGCTGAAGACATTTAAACGATTTGTGGACACGGAGTCGATATCTGCGAAGATGTGGAAGAATGCTATTAAATGGTGTCTAAAGGGAAGTGTCGCCAAAACTTACCACACGTTTACCGCCGATGAACACCCATTGAGACCATAGTTGCGGACCTCATGTGTGGTGAGAGTCGAGTGGACACACCTGCCTGTGCTGTGCCGGTAGTGGCCAGAGATGTGAGACATGCGGACCATATATGCAATGATCACAAAACTCACGCTTTTTAACACTTCCGGGTCATAACTATGGACCACATCAGGCAATCCGATTCTTCCGGTGCCCTAAACGCACCGGTAGTTTACAGGGTCTGTAATCCTGACTCCTGGCTACACGTTCGCTACCGTATGTCCAATGGCGAGCACCGGGAGGCCACACGTGTGTTAAAGGGCTGCCCTGTTTGCATATATGCATACCAACCCCTTTATAGATGGCTATTGTATAACGAGAACACCGGGAGGTATGTACAGGGGTTGGCACGTGTGCACCTAATTTAGTGGACAGCATATGCTTCGGGTGCACAACCAGTTTGTGATGCCTGTCCCGTGCCCGGGCAGATATACAATCATAGTGTTTGGTCTGGGATTTAAAGGGAACGCCTACTCCCTGTGCCAACAGTTTACGTCACATACATGTCTGCTATGGCTTTGGAAATTCTGGCACAGAATTGAAAGGGAAGGGAAGGGAAAGGGATGTGTTTTATTGAATAAATTAATAAAATGTGTGTAATTTAATTTAAATATATTTATTGTATTTTATTATATTCATTAATTATATTCGCTATTCGCAGTGGTTTAAATTACTAGCTTGGTCAATTTGATAATTTTCATAGACTATGTTATGAATAATGCTTAAAAAATTACTTTAATTATGAATTTGAATAATTGAAATGATACGACAAATTTAAATAGATTAGTAAACAAGTTTTAACTTGTAAACTTTTAACTAGTAAACAATCTTGAGAAAAAACATGACATTTCATTCAATGGTTGCCTCAATGGGTATCTGTAATACAATCACTAACTTTTCATACAATAATTGGTTGAAACATTAGTTTTCAAATTGCAATTCTAGTCGTTATTAAGAATATACTGTCAGTTAGTTTATAATTGGAAATATTTATATAATATCTTGTAATACTGAATAAATATCATTTTAAACAAACTAATACTGTATATGGGCATAATGTTCCGGTACACTCATTAGATAATTATTTTTATCAAAAATTTCATATTACTTTTCTAAGAAGTTTCTAATTTTTAAATATTTCTGTCACTAACAAAGTTGTTAGAAATTCTTATTATGAACTTGATATTGAATACAAATATTTATATAAAATATAATTTAAAAATATATGATAAAAGGCATCAGTATTTGACTATCAATACAGTCTATCCAACAGACCTTCAAATAAGTCTTATTTATATCAACCTTCAGTTTGTGTCAAAACATTTTTCAATAGAATTAGTCATTAGACATTTCCTACAGTATTTCAAAAAGGGTTGTGTAAAACAATATATTCATTTGTTTTTTGTATAGTACATCGAATTCAAATGTTTTATTAATTCAGTATAACAAACATTATATAAGAATATATTGGCTTTTTCTTTCATTTATTTTAAGTTTTATATAAATGATTTAGAAAATTTTATTCATTTTAGCAAATTCCTAAACAACTTATTTTTATATTATTTGAAATACATTTTATAATAACAAAACATGAATCTAAAGAGTCATATAATAATCATACGGCTATTACTGCACAAGAATTGGTTAATCCGTTTCCACCATAAGATAGCATTTGTATTGCTATTCATAGTTCCCATCATTTTTGCCGGACTAATGGTATGGCTAACCGGTCGAAACTTTCCTGATTATAACCACCGCATTGAATACGCTAAAAGCCATCCCATAAACACAACTGTAGTGAACGCCACATATTTTTCACCCAAAACATTTTACGCCGACATTACTTTCATGAATAACTGGAGGCAAACGGTGGGTATTGTCTACTATCCCGACAATAACTACACCAATAGTCTCATGAATTCAGTGCGGAATCAATTAGAAACTAAACTCGATAGGAATATACATCTATTGGGTGTTAACAGTGACCAACAATTACAATCATTACTGAAGAAATCGATTAAAACTAAATATTATGAAGAAATTTATACTAATATTAAATATGCGTTTGGCGTGAGCTTTACTATGGATGACAAGGGGGCGATTGAGGGCCGGCCACCCAAACACCTCAATTATAAGATTACTGTGTACGATAAACATTTTGAAAACGGAGATACCTATCGTATGATCTATTCATATAAGGATTTTGTCACTCAATTCTCGTATTATAATTCATATTTAAGTTATGGTTTCACAGAATTACAACTATCTATAGATTTGGCACATATTTCATTAATTACTAATAAACCAGTTATAAGTCATGTAAACATCACTTCACATCAAATGCCGTTCCCTTCGAAGACTCTACTGAATAAAATGCAAAGTTATTATTCAAATGATTATCACTATATAACTGTAGTGGTTATATTATTTGACTTATTAGTGATGTTACCGGTGATTGTGAAGCGTATAGTAGAGGACAGACAGACACGGATTACAGATTATTTGTTTCAGTTGGGAATCGAGAGGATTGACCACTGGATGGCTGTTATCATTGATGCTCTCACCGTCATTGGTGTCCAATATTTTATAATTATATTAATTATGTGTTACCATAACTTTGAATATTACGATTCCTACGAATACAACACCTTGGTGCATTCGCATTCACTTCTATACGGAATCTCTTTGTCATTGTTTGCAGTCTTTTCGCTACTATTTCTCATTCAATGCATACTTTTTGTTGCATTTATATCCGTATTCTTCAGAAGTCCTAACATTGCAGTAATTCTTACCATTATTTTATGGATAATAACATATGCAATCCCTATTGGATATATGTTTGGATTAAAAGGCAGAGGCACACCTATTTTAGAGCACATTGGTTTGGAATCCCTGTCCTGTTTACTGCCTACTAATGCCCTGTTTTGGTTCATTCATATATGTGTTGGTCTGGAAAAGAATGCCAATTCTGGTGCCGATTGGGTCCATGTATTTAATTCCGGATATCTTTTCGATGAAATGACTTTAAGCCATATATTAGTTGTGATATTAATCTCGTATCCAATGTATGGACTCATGATTTGGTATTTCTCTTCAGTCATACCATTCAAACATTCAATTCATAAACCCTTTTATTTTCCCATTCAATGGATTTATG